ACCCCCAGCGGCAGCCAGAGACACTCCCTACTTCTGTAACCCACTTCCCAGTTCTCAGCACTGTGTGAGAACCTCGAATTTCCCCAGGAAACATAAAAATAAAATATCTCAACCCCCAAGTTGTGTGTGATTCCAGGGGCTTTGGTACCGGGAAGCAAAAAGACTGATCGTGCGTTGGGCTTCGCCAAAGCCTCATGACTCAAAGTCTGGTTTTCATCCACCCGTCGCGTGAGGTCTCAGGCCTCGGAGCTGGCGGTGCCGAATTCCCCTCCAGCAGAAGGGAGCCCTGGGCCAGATCGTGACACCGGCGGCGAAATATCCTCCTGGCCTTGTCCCGCTCTGCTTTTCCCAGCAGTCGAGAGGAAAGAGGGTTTTTTTCCAGGCTGAGGAAAGAAAGGCTTAAGCAAGCTATCGGAGAGCTGCCCGAGTCCTCTGGAAGTCCCCGGGAAAGCCACCCAGCATGAGCTCCTGCAGCCGAGAAGCATCTCGCTGCATCAATTTATGGTCTCGCTCATCACCACTACCGCTTCCAAACCCCCCTGCACCGACCTTGGAAATGATCCAAACCCGTCGCAACGTATGGACACCAGCAGCCGGGGTGTGCAGTCATGGGGCGGTGCAATCCTGGATTCAAGGGGATATTTTCACCCCACAAGGAGGATGTCACGGGTGGTGGGGCAGGCTGCCCAGGAAGCAGCCTCCAGCCTTGCAGGTTTTTGGGAGGAAGCCCTGAACTACCTGGTCTGACCCTGCTTTGAGCAAAAGGTAGGTCTGGGCACCTCCTGAGGTCCCTTCCCGCTCAAAGGACACCTCCTGAGGTCCCTTCCCACAACCATCACCCGCATCTACTGTGTTTCTTCAAACCACTTCCCCAAACGCCTCCTGCAGAGCTGTCCCAACAGCTGCTGCACTGAGATGTGAGGTCTACGCAACAGTAAGGGGGGACAGGGAGCAGCTCCCACTCCAAGGTTGTTCTTTGAAGACATCTAGAGGCTCAACAGCCCCGACCATCACTGCTACCAGACACAGGCCAAAGCAGAAGCCCACCTGGGGTCCATGCCAGCTGCTTTACAGCCCAGCCCGGCTCAAGCCTCCGATGGAGAGCAGTGGGTCTCGGCGAGCAGCACACCTGCAGGGAGAGTGGCCGGGAAGGACCATGGTCTGGCTGTTCTCCCGCAGCCTCCTGGCCAGCTGGCACTTCCACATCTCCTGGAGGAGCAGCCTCCTGACCTTCTGCCCAGCTCCCAAGTCAGCAGACGCTCAAGCTGTTCCTTCCTCCCGGTGCCGAGACGCCCTTATCCTGCTGTCCGGAACATTCTGTTTCAGGACGAAGCCATCCGTCATCGCCCGCCGTGCCCAGACACCACCAGTGACCGAAGCACGTGTGACCCCATCTTCCACTGCTCAAACCGCTGCCTCCGGAGTGGGGACTGTGATCCCGGCTGGGTCCCCACGTACACGTGTGAGGCAGCGCAGTCCCCAGTATGCCCAGGGCACCCACCGCACCTACAGCCCCAGCTCCTTTCCCAGGCGTCTGGAAGCACCAAGCGCAGCCCTGAAGGTCCCTGTTGGCACGTGCGACCATCACTGCCACCCCTGTGCCAGCCATGGGTTATGCCCATCGGCTTTCCGTAATGCCATGGCTTTGCCCTAAGCATGTGTCACCACCTACGACTTCAACAGTGGCACAGCGAGATCTTTATCACAAAGATCCGATTTTCACCTGGTTTCCTCCTCCAATTCTTGACAAGTGACACCACCAAAAACAGGGCAAGAAAATACTGCTGTTTACTCGTACCATGGCAAACCCTCAGACCCCACGGGGCAGCTACGGACGGACACCGGTGGGTTATGGGCCGCACCTGGA